AGAGAGGTGAACAAAATTCAGAGTACTTTGAGAACACCCTGGAATTCTGCCCAGTCATGTTAGAAGCGCTTTGTATATGCTTTGAGAGCCAATGGAGCTTTAAAATAAATAGTTACATTCAAAGAAAGTAGGACAGCAGTTAGTGAAACATTTACCATTAAATCACATGTGACTAGGCCAGAATTGATTTTTAAAGAGATTTACCACCTTTAACGAAGTTAGCCCATTTCTTTTCCTCAGGGCAAGAGAGAAGGGAGCATTCATGCAGAGGTCACATGCAGTGAAAGAAACAAAAACTCTTGAAAGGTCAAGTTCATCCCTGCTACTGGGTCTGACTATTCCCCAGGCCCATCTTTGCCCTAGGCTCTTAAATTCATAGCCTTTCTCGGCTGGGAAGGGCCTTGGAGATGATTTAGCTCCATTTCTTCCCCAAGGCCGAGGCCAGACAGGTGAGGGGCCTCACCGACAGTCTCAGGGCCGCTGGCGGCAAGCGCCAGGCTGAGATCCGCGGGAAAGGGCCTTCCTCCAACTGCCCCCTGCGTTCTCCCGCTACTCTGTTTTAATATTCCCCCTTAAAACTCTGACTTGCTTCTCAACGAAGTTGCCGAGAGCGGAAAGCAGCTGGTGGAATTGGATGAAGAAGGGAGAAGGTGCCCCGGGGGACCTAGAGAAAAGCGGGGGCAGGGGCGAGAGGGCCCCTCGGGCAGCGGCGGGCGGCCCCCCGCTGCCCAGCGCTCTGGCTCCACCTGGGGGGGGGGGGACATGCGGGTGACAGTGAGGACGCCGCTGCCCCGCGCACCGCCTCTGGACTTACGTGATTGTCGCTCCCCTTCCAGAAGTAGAAGGCCCCGATGGCCCCGAAGAGCAGCAGCACCGCCCCCGAAATGAGGACCACAGCTCCGACCTTGAGCAGCCGCGCGGGGCTGGAGGGCTTCACGGTCACCGTGGCGTATGCCTGCGGGCCGGGGCGGGGGTGGTCGGGGAGGGGGGACCGGTCACGTCGGCGCCGCCCGCACCCCCGCACCCCGCACCTCCCCTGGAGGTGGGAAACGGCGCGTCCCCTCCCCTTTCGCCGCGCTCCGTCCCGAAGGTCCCTTGTACTCAGGCGTGGATGTGCGATCAGCAAACTTTTGCCCGAGGAGGGCCAGGGCCCCGCGGCTGTGCACGCTCCGCCCGCCACAGGACGCCCGCTCCTGCGTCCGTTCCCACCCTCCCCTTCACGGCCGTCTGGGGTCCCGAGAACCCTGCACACGCGCGGAGTTGGGCACCAGCCTCCCAGATTCGGTGGCGCAAATCCCTGACTCCGGGCAGTGGATTCGGACCCCCGCGCAAAAACCGGGCCCTGCGTGTCCACTGACCCGGCAGTGGGACCGGGAATCCCGAGCCCTACTCACCGGGGGACTGCAAAACTCGACGTCGTCAGGCCCCACCAGGGCGATGGGAACTTTGTCGGAGTTTTCTGTCATGGCTGTGGCCGGAGGAGCGAGACCCTGGCAGCCTCCGCGCGCGCCCTGGGCTCTGTCCCGCTGCCCCGACGTGCCGGGCATTTCAAGGCCGAGCACACACAGTGCCCTGTCCCACCCGGGCCAGCCCAGCGGTCCCCACCCCTTCCAGAGCCTCACCTCTCTCCTCCCTTCCCTCTCCCGCCCCAGCCGCTGAGTGAGCTCGTCCTGCATTCCGGACCCTCTCCTGTCTCCTACCTCCCATCCCACCCCGCCCCAGCGCCCTTAGTGTGTCACGGTGGGGATGGAGATGGGGAGGGTTGGGTAGAGGATGCCGATTCCTGCAATCCCAAAAATGTGACAGTGCCAGGACTCTTTCTACCATCCAAAGATCTCTTTAAATGTCAGAGGACCCTGCTGTGACATGGTGCTGGAGGTGCTTTTCCTGACTTTGTGTGTGGGTTGGAAGCTGGTAGAACAGGACAGAGTGGAGAGGAGAGTCTGGCACTGCCGGAGGGTCCCTGGGACTAGAGCACTGAGCAGGGCTGGGAGATGGCCCTGGTCACCCATGTCTCTAGAAGGTCTAGGAGGAGGGTAGAGCGCTAGCCAAATCAAAAGCCAAGGAGAGGAAGCTGGAGGGAAGGAGTTGGGGAGACCAGAACGACAGTGCATTGTTTGGTCGACTTTGTGAGTTAAACAAACAAATCAACAATGGCAACACATACGCACCTCGAAAACATTATGTCCAAAGGAATACATAAAACATATATTTTTTTAAAAAGCAGAACAGTGAAAGTATTTTTCACTTTTGGAAATGCCATCCGCCAGTATTAGAATGACAGAGCACCTAATTTTGGAGCCAAGCTTCATTAATTCATACTCAGTTCTAGTTTTGTGCAGAGGCCTCTGCTGGGTGAGTCACCAGGTGCAAGAGTCCAGGAGAGGAACCCAGGTGTCCTGACTGAAGGGAGATTGGATGGGCAGGGCGGCAGCAGGAGGAAGTGTTCCATTCTGGGTTGCTGGAGAGGGAGGATGTGTGACGAGCAGGGTGCAGTGGGTCCAGGAAAGGAGGCAAGAATGGAACCGGCACCCACAGAAGATGTCTGTAGGACTTGACAGCTGTTGGGCTGGAGAGACGGAGGGCCTCCCCTCTATTGTCACAGGTGGGTGAACTGGTACGACTCTTATGGAAAATAATTTAATTCCAAAATGCAAAATACAGTCTCATTTCTGTGGATCCATCCCACAGATACACACACAAGGGTGGAAAAATCCTATATAGGCAAAGATATTCATTGCAGCATCTTCATTAGAACAAAGGACTGGAAACATCTTGGGTGTCCACCGTGGAGAATTTATGGTGCGTCCTCACAGAGGGTTCTTGGCAGTGATTTGAAAGAAGGGAGCAGCTTTGGATTTCCTGATGTAGAATACTTCCTAACATATTTTATGTGAAAAAAGACAAGGGTTGGAAATGTGTATAAATGCCTTTTTTTGTATCAAAAAAATGCAAACAAGATTATATGTATGTATATGCTCTCTGAAAAGATACACAAGATACTGACAGCAGGGGTTGCCCCTGAGGAGAGCTGGGTGGCTTGGGGACACCATGGAAGGGAGATACTTCACTGTGTGTCTTCTGGAATGTTCAAATTCTGTATTGAGAACACTTACTAACTTCAAAAAATGAGTGAATGAAATAATAAATAACGGCGAGGTGGGGAGGAAGTGCGCATAACACACGAAGACAGTTCTTTCAAGAACTTTGGCACTGAGGGGAAAAAGAAAGTAAGGGGGCTGGGTCAACGGAGTTGGAGGATAGGGGCGCCTGGGTGCCTCAGTCATTAAGCATCTGCCTTCGGCTCAGTTCATGACCCCAGGGTCCTGGGATCAAGCCCCTTGTGGGGCTCCCTGCTCAGCCAGAAGCCTGCATCTTCTCCCTCTTCCACTCCCCCAGCTTTTTTGTTCCCTCTCTCACTCTCTGTCAAATAAATAAATAAATAAATAAATCTTAAAAAAAAAAAAAAAGGGAGTTGGAGGATCAAGAAAGTTCTCCCTGACCCACTCCCACACCCCCACTGGTCTCCCGAAGCTGGAAAGACCTTTGAAGGCCACAGGGAAAGAGATGACAGAAAGATAGGGAAGGAGGGAGTTAAGCCAAAGCAAACAGGAAGATAAAGCTTGAGGAGAGAGGGACTGGTAGGAGTAAGTGATGGCAGGGATGTTCTGGGGACACATGGGCTCTGTAGAGAGGTGCACTAGGGAAGGGTGAGGGGTGGGGGAGAAATGCAAGTTTCTTTTTTTTTTAATGAGCCCCCCCTTTTTAAATTAACTATAATGTATTATTTGCTTCGGGGTACAGGTCTGTGAATCGTCAGTCTCACATAATTCACAGCACTCACCATAGCACATACCCTCCCCAATGTCCATCACCCAGCCACCCTATCCCTGCCCCCCAACACCCCAGCAATCCTCAGTTTGTTTCCAGAGATTAAGAGTCTCTTATGGTTTGTCTCCCTCCTGATCCCATCTTGTTTCATTTTTTCCCTGCCTACCCGCCACAACCCGCTGCCCTGCCTCTCAAATTCCTCATATCAGAGAGATCATATATAACTGTTGCTCTGATTGACTTCTTTTGCTTAGCATAATACCCTCTAGTTCCATCCACGTCATTGCAAATGGCAAGATTTTGATTTTTTTGAAGTCTAACTTGATTAGATTTTAGTCCTTTTATTTCTCCAGGAAAGGATTTTATTTCTCCAGAAAGGGATTCTCTAGTATCTTCCATGCTTTTTTTGAGCCCGGCTTTTTTTGAGCCTTGATAATCGAAATTCTGAACTCTAGTTCTGATGCATTACCAATGTCCGTATTGATTAGGTCCCTAGCCGTCGGTACTGCTCTTGTTCTTTTTTTGTGGTGAGTTTTTCCACCTTGTCATTTTTTCCAGATAAGAATCGATGAATGAGAGAAAATACTAAAAGGGTAGCAACGACCCCAGAAAAATAGATACTAAGTAAATCAAAAGAGACTGAAACTGGGGGAGAAGAAAGGAGGGGGGGAAATATATGTGTGTGTGTGTGTGTGTCTGTGTATTAGACTGGTGACTAAAACAGAGCCACACACTTGATTTGGGGTGTATTTTGGTCTGTTAGTAGAAACTACCTCCCAAAATTTTAAAGAAAGAAAAACATCATACACACACACACACACACACACACACAGACACACAAAATAAAGGCAAACATGATTAAGGTTGGAATATGACTGTAAAGATGAAAATTAAAAAGGATTCCAGAAAAGGAATTGGTAAGATAAGAAGTTGGTTGAAAAAAGAGAGAAAAAAAAAAAAAAGGAGTAAAGAATGTGATCAGGCTGGAGACTAGAACAAAGCCATCCACTAGATTTATGGTATATTTTGATCTATTAGAAGAAATTGTATCCCAAAATTTTAAAGAAAGAAAAACCTATATGTATACAAAAAATAAAGTTAAATACAATGAAGGGATAAAATATGACTATAACAATGAAAATTTTAAAATTTTTCTAAAAATGTATTGATAAGATAAAATAGTTAAAAAACATTAAAACAGGAATGAGGAAAGATGAAAAAAGAATAGGATAAGAAAAAATTAAAATTTAAAAAATTTAAATTTGAAAAAAAAATTAAATTTGAAAGTCTAAAGAGCCATGGGGAAAAAGTTGTGAATTCTATGTGTTGTTTTCCCCTAACACTGGTGTTCTGCAGTTCTTATTCATCAGTGAGCTTGGTCTTGGCTAGTTGTCCTCGCTGATCTTCTGGGGGAGGGCCTGTTGCATCGATTTCTCAAATGTCTTTCCCCAAGGCGGAATTGCACTGTCCTTGCCCAGGGCCGGGCTAAGTAATCTGCTTGGGTTCGCTCTTGGAGCTTTTGTTCCCTGAACGCTTTCCACAGAGTTCCAGAGGACGGGAATGAAGATGGCGGCCTCCCAATCTCCGGCTTGGAGGAGCTGAGGGCTTGGAGCCCCACTCCTCAGTGCGCCCTTGGAGAAAAGTGGTCAATCCCTCCTGCCTCTGTGGTCTCTGGCCCACGCTCTGTACTCCCCTGGCCTGTGACTGAGCGTTTCTATCACAGGCACACAGCCCCTTTTGGAGTCTCCAAACCCTGCAGGTTCCTGCAGCCTGCTCATGCTCCGGCTCCCTGCCCCCGGAGGAGGAAGGTGGGTCTCCCTGTTTCTGCTGCTTGTAGGGTCCCTGCCCAAAGAGCAGTGACCTGACTGTGCCTCGGATCACAGTTTAAGGTAACCCAGAGCTGAAAGCTCACTCCTTGGCTCTGTCTCTGCAGCTGGCTTCCCTGCTCCGATACCTGGGTGCTCTGCTGCACTCAGACACCCCCAGTCTCTCTGTGACCCCCCGGGACCTGAGACCACACTGTCCCCATGAGGGCTCCAACCCCACTTAGCCCCTGGAGTGACGTCCCTCAGTGGAGCAGACTTCTAAAAGTTCTGATTTTGTGCTCTGCGTCTCCACCACTTGCTGGGAGCTGGTACCTCCCACTGATCCCCCACCGTGGTCTATCTTCTGATATCACCTCAGATTCACTTCTCTGCATGTCCTACCTTCCAGGAAGTGGTCACTTTTCTGTTCATAGAATTGCTGCTATTCTTCTCTTCAATCTCCTGTTGGGTTTATAGGTGTTCAGAATCGTTTGATAACTAGCTAGCTGAACTCCTGGGACCCGATGATATTTAGGTCTCCTACTCTTCCGCCATCTTGCTCCTCCCCTGAAATGCAAGTTTCTGTCTCATTCATACAACAAATGGGGGTAAGCGGTGGGTGGGGAGACCATGGCACCCTCTGAGCTCATTCTGTTGAAGTGGCATATTTTCAACAATTTTAAAGGAATATGTTTACATGAAGATGGTCAACAGTGATGAGAAGATGGGAGGAGCAGCACAGTGGGAGTCCCGTGGAGAAGGGGATCAAAGGGTACCCATTTCATAGACTTTCTCCCCTCTCCCACCTCCTGATGGACCTGATTCATAGGCTCTTCCCTTGGAGGTGACAGCCCAACTCTGCCCTGTGTCAGGCACTGTGTCAGGACTGGGGACACAGCAACAAGAAAATGAGACAGGGTCCCAGCTCTTGAGCTACCTCTAG